ATGAATTTCAGCATCATTTTTTCTGGGTCTTTGAAGAATGACTTTGGTATTTTGATTGGTATTTCATTGAACCTGTAAATTGCTTTTGGGAGAATGGACATTTTGATGATATTGATTCTTCCAATCCATGAGCATGGCAGGTTTTTCCATTTTTTGGTGTCGTCTTCTATTTCTTTCTTTAGTGTTTTGTAATTTTCATCATAGAGGTCTTTGACATCCTTGGTTAAATTTATTCCAAGGTACTTTATTGTTTTTGTGGCTATTGTGAATGGAATTAATCTTAGAAGTTCTTCCTCGGCCCTGGCATTATCTGTGTATACAAAGGCTGTTGATTTCTGAGCGTTGACTTTGTATCCTGCTACTTTACCAAACTCTTCTATGAGTTCCAGTAGTCTCTTATACGAGTGTATCGGGTCCCCTATATATAGTATCATGTCATCTTCAAATAGGGATAGTTTAACTTCCTCCTTTCCCATTTGTATCCCTTTAATTTCTTTTTCTTGCCTGATGGCCCTGGCTAACTCTTCTAGGACTATATAGAATAGCAATGGTGAGAGTGGGCATCTTTTGTCTGGTGCCAGTTTTCAATGGAAATGCCTCCAACTTTTCCACATTGAATATGATGCTGGCCTTTGGTTTATCATAGACTGCCTTAATTGTGTTGAGGAATGTTCCTTCTAACCCCAATTTGCTTAGGGTTTTCATCATGAGACGGTGTTGTATTTTGTCAAATGCTTTCTCTGCATCTATTGAGATAATCATATGATTTTTGTTTCTCAATTTATTAATGTGATGTATTACATTGATTGACTTTCAAATATTGGACCATCCCTGCATACCAGGGATAAATCCCACTTGGTCTGGGTGAATGACCTTTCTGATGTGCAGTTGAATTCGGTTTGCCAGAATTTTGTTGAGTATTTTTACATCTATGTTCATCAGGAAGATAGGTCTGTAGTTTTCTTTCTCTATTGTGTCTTTTCTGGGCTTAGGAATTAAGGTGATATTGGCTGAGTAGAAAGAATCTGGGAGGATTCCCTCCCTCCAATTGTTTTGAATAACTTGAGAACAGGAGTTAGTTGTTCTCTAAATGTCTTGTAAAATTCGGGGTGAAGCCATCCAGTCCTGGGCACTTCTTTATCGGTAGTGCATTTATTACTGATTCAATTTCTTCCATGGTCATGGGTCTGTTTAGATTTTCTATATCTTCACGGCTCAGTTTAGGAAGGTTGTATGTGTCCAGGAATCTATCCATTTCTTCCAGGTTCCCCAATTTGGTAGCATACATCTCTTTGTAGTGGTTTATGATGATTCTTTTTATTTCTGTTGTGTCTGTTGTTACGTTTCCATTACGATCTTTGATTTTACAGAATTAGGTCTTCTCTCTCCTTTTTTTGGTTAGTTGGGCCAATGGTGCGTCGATTTTGTTTATTTTTTCAAAGAACCAGTCCTTGGTTTTCTTGATCTTTTGTATTTTTTTTGTTTCAATTCTGTTTATTTCTTCTCTTATTTTTAGTATTTCTTTCCTCCTGCTGGGTTTGGGCTTGATTTTCTGCTGTTTTTCTAAATCCTTGAGGTGCGTGGAGAGTTCATTTGTTTGGTTCCTTTCCAGCTTCTTGATGTAGGCACCAATTGCTATAGACATTCCTCTTAGCACTGCTTTTGCTGTACCCCACAGGTTTTGATTGGTTGTGTTGTCATTTTCATTTGTTTCTAGAATTCTTTTGATTTCTCTTTTAATTTCTTTGATGACCCACTGTTTGTTTAGGATCTTGTTGTCCATTCTCCATATATTTGCATATGGTATAGAGATTCTTGGGTTGTTGATTTCGAGTTTCAGTGTGCTATGGTCTGAGAAGCTGCATGGTATAGTTTCAATTTCTTTGACTTTGTTGAGGCTCCCTTTATGGCCTAGCATATGGTCAATCCTAGAGAACGTTCCATGTACTGGGGAGAAATACGTGAACTCTTTGGCTGTGGGGTGGAAGGTTCTGAAGATATCTATTAGGCCTATTTGGTCCATAGCATCAATTAATTCTGTTGTTTCCTTGTTGAATTTCTGACTGGTTGATCTGCCCATTGGTGAGAGTGGGGTGTGGAAGTCCCCTGTTACTATTGTATTTGAATCTATATCTCCCTTTAAATCCTTTAGTAATTCTTTCAGGTAGCCAGGTGCCCTGTAATTAGGTGCGTATACATTTATAATAGTAATATCTTCCTGTTGGATAGATCCTTTAATCATTATATAGTGCCCTTCTCTGTCTCTTTTAATAGTTTTTATGTTGAAGTCTATTTTGTCTGATATCAGGATGGCCACACCAGCTCTTTTTTGATTTCTGTTAGCTTGGAGTCTCTTTTTCCATCCTTTCACTTTCAGTCTGCGTGCATCTTTACTGATAAGGTGTGTCTCCTGAAGGCAACATATAGATGGATTCTCTTTCTTGATCCATTCAGCTAGTCTGTGTCTTTTGGTAGTAGAATTAAGACCATTCCCATTCAGTGTGATTACTGTTAAGTACTGTCTTTTCCCATTCATGTTACCTAAACGAGCTGTTTATGTATTTTGAACTTTGTTTGCAGGTTACTCTACATTTGCCTTTTTTTTTTTGTAGTGAAGTTCTTGTTTTTGTATTTCTGTGTGCAGCACGTCTTTCAGCAAGTGTTGTAGGGTTGGACACGTGGATACAAATTCTTTCAGTTTCTGTTTGTCATGGAAGATCTTTATTTCCCCTTCATTCATAAATGATAGCTCTGCAGGGTATAGTATTCTAGGTTGGCATTGTTTGTCTTTTAAAACTTGAAATATATCATGCCGTTGTCTCCTTGCCTGTAGTGTTTGCGATGAGAAGTCTGGGCTGAGTCTGATTAACTTACCCCTGAATGTGTTTTGTCGTTTCTCTCTGGCACATTTTAGGATTTGTTCATTGTGTGTCACTGAGCTGAGTGTTGCCACAATGTGTCGTGGTGAATTTCTCTTCTGGTCTACCCTGTTCGGAGTCCTGGCTATCTGTTGAATTTGCCTGTTGTTATCCAGCTGCCTTTGTTTGAAGTTTTCTGATATTATTTCATTGAAAACACCTTCCAATCCATTCTCTCTTTCTACTCCCTCAGGGACTCCTATTATTCAAACATTACATTGTTTGATTGAATCTTGTAGGTCTCCGACCATATTTTTTAATTTTTTAATTTCTTCTTCCTGCGTTTGAACTGACTGTATTATTTCTGGAAGTTTGCCTTTGAATTCTGATATTCGGTCTTCTATTTCATCTGTTTGATTTCCGAGGGATTCCACGGTGTTTTTTATATGGTCAATTGAGTTTTTCATTTCCAGTATTTCATTCTGGCTTCTCTTTAGGATCTCTAATCCTTGGGCTTGTTTTTCGTTCAGCTCTCGACACTGTTTCTCATTATTTCTAAGTATTCTGATTATTAATATTCTGAATTCTTTTTCTGGCATAGTTTCAAATTCTTCTTCTTCAGCCTCTGTTATGGTTGGTTTAGCATGCTCCATTGGCGAGTTAATATGTTCTTCTGTATTCTTATTGTGGGTTTTTGTTTTGTTTTCTTGGCATTCCGTCTGGGTGGTTTTTCAGGTTGATTTCCCTCTGCTGTGGGCTGCTGTGAGTCTGTACCAATATCCAGTGTAAGCAGGCTGCTCTGCCTTCTAGAGTTTGTTTTTTTTTTCACTTATTTATTTATTGTAACTTGAGTGGGCTGGTGTCAGGGCTTTGAGGTGCCAATCTCTGCCCCTTGGGGGGCCAGTTTCCTTGTTCCTATGTTCGCCCTTACATGTCTGTGCTTGGGGTTCATTGCTCAGCCACTCTCTTTCACTGCACCTCCTGTGTGAGGAGTGTCAAGTAGCTCCTGACCATCTTTGGACTCCGCCCCTGCTGCTTCCTCCTTCAGAGCAGAGGCCAGCCTCCTTTAAGCCCGAATGTAAACAAACAAATGGCTGCACTCTGCCCGCTGCAGCTCTGATTGTGGGTTGGGCAGTCCTAAGGATCCTGGCATTATTGATCCCTCAGTTCGTCCCCCTGGATCCTGCCCTCTTCCCATGGGCACTATTCAATTTTTTTTTTCTGGTAACTTGAGTAGACTGGTGTCGGGGCTTTGAGCTGCCCTCCCTCACTGCCTGCCCCTGTGCAAGGCATGTCATGTCACTCCACTCCACCTTTGGGCTCCACCTCCAAAGGTTAGTGCAGAGGCAGAGGCAGTTCTCCTTTAAGCCCGAATGTAAACAAACAAGATGGCTGCTTCCCGCCTGCTGCAGCTCTGACTTGGGGGAGGCATGCTGGATTGTTTAGTCCCTCAATCAGACCCCCTGAATCGCTCACTCTTTCCACAGGCGCTACTCACTCTGTTCCATTTTCTGTTTCCTCCCCCACTCAGTCGTGTGTCTCAGTGTCCGTCCCAGGGTGGGTTGGGGTAGGGGCGGCGGCGGCTGCTACAGCAGTGCTGGGCGAGTGTCATGTCTCATCTCGGCTTCCAGCGCTGGTGCGTACACATTCCTGCTGGTGTCCTGCTCTTCAGGCATCCGCGTCCTCCTCGCAGGTCCACCCTGTCTCCCCCGTTTTGGAAGAGCTTCCCTTTCCCTGAAACTACAAATTCTCACCCTTCTTTGAACCTTCCCTTCCCGGACCATCGGTGTGCTCCCTCCTATTCCGCCATCTTGGAACCTGAGCTGCCCGTTTGCCCTCTCCTATCTTATTTAGACAAGGCTTTACCTGCTAGGCCACAGTTTCCTCCCCAGCTTAGATCATTCTTTAAAGCCTGGTGAAAACTTAAAAACTCTTGTTATTGCATATCTGATATTCTCTGCAAGATGTATAAACTGATATTTTGTTACTTGGTTTTCCTAGGAGGATTATGGAATGGAAGGAATCAGCTGGCATAATAGGGATTATCATGATAGCTGTTGTATGCATCTCATTAGCACAAAACCAACAGGACTCTGCAGTTTGGATGAAGAAAGCAAGTGAGTATGATTCTTTTGAGTTTCTTACTAGCTGTTTGGGCTTTTCATGTCATCTTCAGATTAAACTTTCTTTTGCATTTTGTTAAAAATTTTGCTGTTACTTATTTGAAAGAATGAGAGAGAAGAAGAGACAGGAAGAGATCTTCCAGCTGCTGGTTCACTCCCCAAAGGGCCACAATGCTCGGGGCTAGGCCAGGCTGAAGCCAGGATCCAGGAACTCCACCTAAGTTTTCCATGTGGGTGCCATCTGCTGCTGCTTTCCCAGGTGCATTAGTAGAGAGCTGGATTGGAAGCAGAGCAGCTGGGACTTGAACCACTGCTCCTATATGAGATGCTGTCATTACAGACAGCGGCTTAACACAATGTGCCATCATCCCTATCCTTAAATTGTCAAGTAAACGGGTACTTGTTTATATTTAGGTGTTTTTTTTTTTTCTGGGTAAATAGGATGGCTTCCTGATTGAACTTGGTAAGTTTTTCTAGATTTCTTCTACACATTTTGAAATTGAATTTGTTGTCATATTTATTTTAAAGATTTTGCTGGTTATTTGAAAGTGAGAGGTAGAGATTCCCTCTGCTGGTTCACTCCTCAGATGGTCTCCATAGCCATGGCTGAGCCAAGGCAAAGGCAGGACCAGGCACTTCATCTGGGTCTCTCACATGGGTAGCAGGGGCCCATACACTTGGGCCATCATCCCCTGCTTCTCCTAGTCCCTCAGCAGGGAGCTTGATTGGAAGTGGAGCAGCTGGGACACAACTGCACTGATACTGGGTGCAGGCATCGCAGGTGATGGTTCCACCCATTTTGCCACAACACTGGCCCTCATGTTTTTTGATGTATAGTCCTTTATTCTGTTTTTTCTTTTTAAAAAGATTTATATATTTATTTGAAGGTGGAGTTACAGAGAGATGTAGAGCCAGAGAGAGAGAGAGTGAAGTCTTCCATCTGCTGGTTCACTCCCCAAATGGGTATAATGGCCAGAGCCTGGCTGATCCAAAGCCAGGAGCCAGTAGCTTCTTTCAGGTCTCCCACATGGGTGCAGGGGCCCAAGGACTTGTGCTATCTTCCACTGCTTTCCCAGGCCATAACAAGAGAGCTGGATCAGAAGAGGAGCAGCCGGCCCATAAGGGATGCTGGCATTGCAAGTGGTGGCTTTATCTGCTATACCACAGAACCGGTCCTTCCTTTATTCTTGAATTGAGGTTTAAATTTTTTTAAAATTTTCACTTGATTTTATTCTTTTGACAGGAGGAAATATAGAAATAGACATGGAATGAGCTCCCATCTTCAGGGTCATTTCCCTAGTGCCCAGAATAGGCAGAGCTAGGCCAGGCTGAAGCTAAGAACTCAGGAACCAATTTGATCTCCATCACAGGTGACAGGGATTTAGTGACTTGATCTATCATTTGTGCCTCCCAGGGGTGCAGTTTAGCAGGAAGCTGGAAGTGGAGGTGGAGCCGGGTATTGAACCCAGGCACTTTGCTGTTTGGATGCAGGCATCCTGAGTGTCATCTTGACCACTGCTCTAGATGCTCCCCCTTTAACTGAGTTTCATATAGGAGGTGTGGTTTTAGTTTGTATGTTTAGCATAAAAGGATATCCTAATAGAATAGTCATGCCTACCAGGACAGTGCAGTTATTAAGTAGCTGCATAGGCCACATATTGGCCATTCTTGTGAACACTGTTCAGTATACCAGACTTAAATATGAGCTTTAGAAGTAAAGGGTGAAACACCATCCTCAAGAGTATTTTCTTTTTTTATTCAGTTTGTTTATATGAGAAGGAGAGTCACAGAGACAGAGAGAGCTGTAACTGCTGGTGCACTCTGAGAACCTGCAGTGGCTGTGGCTGGACCACACCTGAATCCCAGAGATGGTAACTCAGTCCAGGTCTCCCATATTGATGGTAGTGATCTAGTTACTTGAGACATCATTGTTGTCTCCAAGGAAGAGTGATTATTGGGAAGCTGGAATCAGAAGCCAGAGCTGGGAGTCAAACCCAGGTACTCTGATGTGGGACTTTGGCACCTTAAGCAGCATCTTAACTACTGGGCAAAATGCTCACCTCCTCCAGAGGATTATTAACGCTTTGTAAGACATTATTTGTGGTTAAACTATCTTAAGTAATGGCAGAGCTAGAATTGGGAAGACCAAAGTGAAGAGACTGTGTAAGGATTTTTATGATTCTTCAGTAAAAACATTTAGAGCCAGCACCTCTCTCCTGGCTTCGGATCACCACAATGCACCGGCTGCAGCGCGCCGGCCGCGGTGGCAATTGGAGGGTTAACCAACGGCAAAAAGAAGACCTTTCTCTCTGTCTCTCTCTCTCACTATCTACTCTGCCAGTCAAAAAAAAAAAAAAAAAAGAATGTAGAGAGGATCAAAGGCGGGTAATAAAACCAGGAGACATATCACTAGAGAGAAGTTTGATTTGTAATGGTGGAAGGAGCCACTAAACAGGAGACCTCTTTACCAGTAGTTGTTAATGGCCTTGATATAAGATAGCTAAAGCAGCAGGACAGCAGTAGTTCGACAGTCCACCATCACTGTGAGAGATTTTGAACACCTGTCTCTCAGTAACTAATGGAATAAGCAGATAAAAACTCAGTATGAACAGAAATACTGAAACATCACTGTTACACAGCTGAATTGGCATCTCAGAAGGATAAGTGGAAAATCATTGAGTGTTTCACAAGTAGGCAAAGCTTTTCTAAATAATCCAATTACAATTGCCAATAAGAAATAGTAATTTAAATTATTTGTTTTAGTTATAAATAATTAAAATTATGACATCTTAAACCTGACATTAATGAAAATACAGCATATCTAATTTGATAGGCTTCAGTTAATGCAGTGATTAGAGGGAAATTATTAACTTTAAATGTACATATTATAAAGGAAGGAATGGTGAAAAGCAGTTAGCTAAGCTTCTATCTCAAGAAAGTAAAAGAGGCAAGCGCCTTGGCTCAGTAGGGTAATCCTTTGCCTGTGGTGCCAGCACACCAGGTTCTAGTCCCATTCAGGTTGCTCCTCTCCCTGTCCAGCTCTCTGCTGTGGCCCGGGAGTAAAGTGGAGGATGGCCTAAGTGCTTTGGGCCTGCACCCTCAGAGGAGACCGGGAGAAGCACCTGGCTCCTGGCTTCTGATCAGCGCAGTGTGCTGGCCACAGCGCGTAGGCCGTGGCGGCCATTGGGGGGTGAACCAACGGAGAAGGAAGACCTTTCTCTCTGTGTCTCTCACTGTCCACTCTGCCTGTCCAAAAAAATAAAAACAAAAAAAGTAAAAGAATAGCAAATTAAACCCACAGCAGTTAAAGAGAGGATGTAATAGGATGACACTGGAAATGAGCGCCATTCAGAGCAGACAGAATAAAGACAGGAACAAACCCTTGGAAAGCTGATCCAGAACACAGGGTGGTAGACAGTGACTGACAGGGAGAAGGATTCACTGAGTACTGATATCAGAAAGCAAAAGGGAACTTCACTGCAAACTCCAGAGATGTTAGAATGTTTGAATATATCTTATCATGAAATTTAACCACATGTACAAAACTGCAGAAATTTTATTAAAACATATTTTTACCAAAACTGTTATCAAGGAAAAATAGGAAAACCAGAAAAAAATTGTCAATTAAATAACTTCAATCAATAATGTAAGACTTCTTCACAAAGGAAATCTCAGACCTTTATATTTCACTGGTAAGTGCTTCCAGGAGTTTAAGTACCACTGTCTTATTTTCTTTGAAATTTGAGATACTTTTAAGATGTATACATGGATCTCAGAAATAGCAAGAGAGACCTGAGCTGGAAATACACATGCAAGGTTCAGTATATAGACAGTGTTTAAAGCAATGATCATGATGTGATGCCTGATGTACGAGGATTGCATGAGAAGATTAGTGATGCAAGATCAAAGTCAGTTTGAATTTCTGGTATGAACTAGCAGTGGGACCATGAAGACAGTACAAGAAGTTAAGTCATAAACCACACCATATGTTTTCATGGAAACCAGGAGGAGCCAGAATCTTCAGAATGCTGTAGTCAGTTTGTAATGTACTTACAAATCCAGAAATATGAAGACAAAGACCAGCTTATCTGTAAGATGAAGGTCTTTGGGCACAGTCAACACTTGATAGTCATCATGGGAAAGAGTTCTAGAAGCTTAGATTGTAAAATATGGGTTATTACTAAGGTGTAGGATGGTTTTTAGAGTAGGTCAAATTAAGGTTTTCGTTTTTGTACTGATATTTATCTATTTAAAGATTTATTTATTTGAGAGGAGAGTTTGAGAGAGAGAGAGCAAGAGACAGAGTCTTCCGTCCACTGGTTCAGTCCCCAAATGGCTGCAACAATCAGAGCTGGGCTGATCCAAAGCCAGGAGTCATAAGCTTCTGCTGGGTCTCCCACATGGGTGCAGGGGCCCAAGGACTTGGGCCATCTTCCACTGCTTTTCGAAAGCCATTAGCAGGGAGCTGAATCAGAAGTGAAGCAGCTGGGATTTGAACCTGTGGCTCGTATGAGATATTAGTGCTGCAGGAGTGAAGGGTTAAAAAGTTAAAAGCTGCTTCCCCCCAAACCTCCTCTGGTGAACTTTTCTGACCTCATTAGACTTGCTCTGCATAGCCGTTAGTCAGTAAATTACCCCAATGTGAGCATAACCTCAGTTTCACCTAAGTGAGATAGAAGAAGTCACCATATATCTCTGCCTCCTGGACCCCTGACTCCACCATGTGTCCCTTATCGCCATTCGGCTGCATTCCTAGGTATCACTCCCTGTATTCATAAATCAACTGGTTGTAAAATCACTTAACTTGTGTCAATTGTTTACTCTATACCACTGTCTGCTCTATGCAATGATTGATTTTCTTTGTTTAAACGTGTATAAAAACCCCAACCCAAGACTATTCGAGGCTGCTCGCCTGTACTGGGACGGGGGCCCCGACATGTCGGAACATCAATAAACTTTACCCTTTGTTAATTACATGAGAGAAGGTCTCTTGGAGCGTTTTTGGGGTGGCAAGAGTAATTCAACTCTAATTCAACTGTAACATATGGAGGTTCCACCGAGATAGCTCTGCTGCCCATGGACGTCTCCAACGGACATCTCTCAGGGTAAGTAAAGGCACCTAAAGGATAGGGACTCTGTGCACGTGCATTTCTGTTTCTGTATCTGGTTCAGGCCTGAAGCGGTTTCGGTTTGGGCTGGCACGGTAGACGTTGGGCTGGCAGAGGTGCTGGAAGCCACAACGCTACAGCCCCGAGGGATGCCTCGGGAGGACCGGGAGACTGAGGACACTCAGCGAAACTCCCATCTGGAATTCCCGCGGTCGGGAATTTGGTGCCAGCATCAGTATTCATCCTTTCTCTTTCTGGTTTTAACTTCTATTGCATAAACTGTTTTCAGACTCACGTTTTGTTTGTACTGCTGTGTCACAGGGCTCTGAGGCAGTTCCAGAGTCTGTGTCTGTCTGTTTGTTGATTGCCGGCATTGTCGCGACTCTGAAGTGGTCCCAGAGTCTGCATTTGTAGGTTCTGAAGTGGTTCTGAAACTTGCATTTGTATTGCCGGCATCCTCACAGGGCTCTGAGGCGGTTCCAGAGTCTGTGTCTGGCTGTTTGTTGATTGTATTCTCTTGTTATTTAGCATTTGTATGGGACACCAGGATGGCTCCCGTTTGGTAGGTTTAGAATCTGCATATGTATTGACAGCATTGTTGGGAGACTCTGAAGTGGTCCCAGAGTCTGCCTTTGTATCCCTGGCGTCCTCAGGAGGCTCTGAGGTGGTTCCAGAGTCTGCGAGACCAGTAGCTTATCTCAGATTCTTTGCAGACACTTTGTGTGGTCGTTGTGTGCTGATTTTCTACACTGTTTGTCTGTTCGTGTACTTTGTTGGTTGTCTTGTTGTTTGTTGATTGCCGGCATTGTCGTGAGACTCTAAAGTGGTCCCGGAGTCTGCATTTGTAGGTTCTGAAGTGGTTCCGGAACTTGCATTCGTATTGCTGGCATCATCACAGGGCTCTGAGGCGGTTCCAGAGTCTGTGTTTGTAGGTCTTTGTGTGTTGCATTGTCTTGAGACTCTGAAGTGGTCCCAGAGTCTGCATTTGTAGGTTCTGAAGTGGTTCCGGAACTTGCATTCGTATCTGTGTCTGTGTGTCAGTGTGGTTCTAGGACCCCATCTGGGACTCTGTAGGGGGCCAGGCTCCCCACCTCTGTAGGAACAAAGCGGGTCGCTCCGCAGGCCTGAGGCCGACGTTCCATTTTTGTCTTTTTTGTTTTGTTCAGTGCCTTTTTGTGAGTCTCTTTGGTGTTTGTTTTTGGCTATTTGTATTTACCTTTCTGAAATTCAGACAATGGGACGGATTTAGACAACTCTTAGAAAGGGAGACTAACCACCCTTTGTTCTTCAGATTGGCCTACCTTTGAAGTAGGGTGGGCACCTGAGGGCACCCTTGACATCCTGGTCTGGCAAGATCTGGTAAAAACTCCCTTTCCTGGTTAAAGCCTTTTTTTTTTTTACTCCCTCAGAAACAGCCTTCAAAAAAGATTTTTGTCGTCTAGGACCGTCCCAGCAAAGCAGATCAAACAAACTAAGACTTCAGCCTCGGCGCCGCTCTATTCTGTTTTACAGGGCGACTCTGAAGATTTGATTTTCCCTCCTCCCTACCAGCCGCCCGGCCCTGGCTGTGGGGCCGGCAGCAGGGGCCACAGGAGAGGGTACGAGAAGCAGCTCCCCAGGGGCCAGCAGATCCCTCCACTCTCCCTTCACAGGCAGCAGGGAAACCCCTGCTGTGCCATTAGCAAGTGCTGAAACCCCCTGTGTGTTCAAACAAAGCTGGCCCTTTGAGCCTCAACCTGCAGGACTCAGCTGGGGCCCAGGAATGGCAGGCAGAGGATGGGAAGGCGCGCCTCCTGACTTATTCCTCAGGATCCTAACTCCCGGAGCCATACCCGTCCCCCCAGACTGACTCCCCATGGCCGACCAAATGGGGCAAATGGATGGATCTCCTGGACTTCAGGACCCGGTAAGTCACCCTGGGGCACTCAGTACTCAGGCCCACCTTTGTGCGGAAGGGGGGGCTCCTGTTGCCCCTCTACCAGGGACCTGCCTGGTGTCTGCAATGGAAAAGAGCGTGTGTGTGGTGTAAATGTGTTTGTGGCTCCACGGCCCTGCAGCTACAGAGTCTAAATGGGCCGTAACCTGCAGCTCCGTGTTCACCAGGTGGGCGAAGCGATCTCACTCCGGATCAGTGCCTGTTCCGGAGGTCTTTATCTCTTGTTTTGTACAACCAAGGGGACACATTATGGAAAAATTCCATTCAGAACCAACTGTTCTAAACTGTATAATAAAAACTTTAAAAATGTTGTCTTAATTTAAAAATTCTTAACAGGTTATTCCAAAATGTAAATAGGTTTTTATCAGCTCTTTTCTGTGCTGCTGTCCCTGACTTAGCTGATAAGAGTTTCATTTGTCTTGAAGGTTCCATGTTTTTCTATTTGTAGTACTGAGACTACGTTGTTTATCTGTTTTTAATGTTTGAGTGATTACCCAACTGATCAAAAATGTACTAATTTTGGCTAAATGGTTTGACTCTGACAGCTTAAATTCTAAATCGAGTCTTCCAACTTTGGGCTTCCAGTCGGATCCCTGGAACTCTCAAAGGATGAGACTCTGAATTTGTTAAAGTAACAGCTGCTTGAGTCAATTCAGATTATGTAAAATGTATTAAAATGTTATAAATGGTGTCAGACCTATGCTGTATTCATGTTTTTGCTTTCCAGCTAAAATAGTCTTATAAAAATAAGAGTAAACTCTGTGTATACAAACCTTTATGTTGTTAACTAAAGTAAGCCAATGCAGATTGGTTCAGAAAATTGAGGTAATGCAAATACCCTTCGGTTTGCTCAGTGGCTTGCTTGCTCAGTTTTACATGTCTTTAATATGCTTTAAACTTGTTTCTTTTAATGATAAAGATCTTTTCAAAGTTGTAACCATGCACTAGTGACTGTGTTTGCTGCTCGGGAGGTGTTGTCCTTATAATACTTAAAAGCATGGAAATGTAATTTTGACTTTTATTTCAAGATACTGGTATGGTAAAACTTGGGAGAGTGTATTATGTGTACTTTTAACATCTCAAATTCGATAAGAGAGACTATTTGAGTTTGTTAGCATGTATTCTCATAGGTTGTCCACACATGACAATTCAAGGCTATATAAAAGTAACTACGGGTGTAAAGTTTCCAAAGGTGTAAACAAGTCATAAAAAGTTTTAAAATGTTTAAAAATGGTCTAAATCATAAATCTTAAAATCTGTTTTCACAAAAACTGTAATGTCTATTTTAACAGTGCTTAATTGGCTACCCTGCCATTTCTAAAATTAGGTCCTGTAAGCTCTTTTTGACTCTGTTAAATTATTCTGAGTTATGTGATAATTTTGTGTACTAACTCTAATGTTCAGGGTTTTTATTTCTGACTTACTCGACAACAAGAGGGATAAAATTCATGTTCTGGCTAAGTAATTTATTGTGTAACAACCAGGCATTGCTAGTTCAAATGTAGATCAAATGGAGGTCTAGCCAAAAGGAAAAAGTGTGCCAAAAGAGACTTAGAGGCGACAGGAGATGGTTATGCAGCAAATGCTAAAAAACTGGGTTCCAGGAGCCCAAAAAGGCTCTAGTGTCCACAGGCTACACGGTGAAAACCCAGAAACCCAGGCCCATAACCCACTGACTACACGGTAAATATCCAGAGGCCAAAGGATGGCAGAGACCTCTGCCACAATTTCTCCTCTAAGTCAGGCTACGCAGTAAGCACTGGTTAAATGCTGGTTAAATCTGAAAGCCCAGGAAGTCAGGCTAGAGACCCGACTCACTGCCTCACTTCTCCTCTTTTCTTTTCCAGAAGGGAAGTTACCACTGTTCTGCAGGACTCTCCACAGTGATATACAGTTTGATCCCCAGACCTTATGTAAGGGATGACTGACCATTTCTATAATAATGCCTGGTCACAGTATAGAGGACCAAACAACATAGCCAGAATAAGAGGTTAAAATGTGACAGCTAAATTAATTTAAAATCAGGGACGGGGTTGAGCACCCCCTTGACTGACATCATAGAGGCTGCCTCCTTGGTCCACTTTATTAGAGACCAGAAAAATGAGGAGCAAGCTAGCAGCAGGAGCGATGTAAGGATGGGCAACAGGCCAATCAGTGGCTGCTTTACACGGTGATCCACTGTCAAGGAAGCCCAGCAAAGCCAATGCACCCCAAACAGTGCCTGTTGCTGACATAAGGAGCCAGGGCATTGGGCAAGCAGCTGTTGTAACAGCGACTGCCTTCTGTCAGCTCTGCCAAGAGCAAGGCTACTGGACATGGAACTGCCCTGGGTGTCGAAGGACTCCTGGTTCAGAACCACAGACCCTGTGGCCCCAAGCTAAAAAGCCTTTGGCTCTGCCCAGCTTCCAGCTCCAGCCACTGCTATTGGGGATGGCCTAGGGTCAGTAAAATGCAAGTTGCCTATTTCTATCAGCCTCCTATTCAGCTCTCCTCCTAGTCCAGCCATGTAATGCAAGTCAACAGGGTGCCTCCCTTAAGGGAGATTTGCATGTCTTACAATTCTCTTAACAGCACCCCATGGATAGGTCTGGGCCTCACACACCCAGCCAGGCCTTAAAAGTCCATCCAATAGTATTAAACTTAAAAAGCCCTCCCTGCCAGTTCCAGGGGAAAGTGGTCCCCTCCACTCCTGTACTGAGACCATAGACTTGATCTATGCCAGCAGAAGGGACCCAAGAGACAGCCCCCTGACTAACACAGATGAAGTTTGGTTCATAGATGGAAGCAGCTTTGTCAGACGGGACCTGCTTCTCAGGGTATGCAACAGTTACAGCATGCTCTGCCCCCAGGAACTTTTGCTCATTTAGCAGAACTGATTGCCTTAACCAGAGCTCTAGATCACACAAGGGATTTGTAAGGCATCTTCACTCTGCATGGAGACCTCAGTCTTCCAGTAACAGTAAGGCAGAAAGAGCCAACCAGGCTCTATAGAAAACATCACAAGGATAAAAATGAGTGCTTGGTAAGTAAGGTTTAGAAAGAAAGAGCTTTTTAAATAAGGAAAGGACATGGTTTGTAAGAATCCTGATGGATAGTTTACTCTAGACTGAAATAAAAATGATGGAATGTTTCAAATAAGTTAAAGAGGGTGTGTGAAGTCACAAAAGGTTATAAAAAAAATTGGACATGCTAAGTGCTGTTCTGGGGGGTGTCTGTGCCATGTTCTAGGAAGAATGTTGTCTCTGGGTCAATCAGACTAGACAGGTACAAATCCAAATTCGTACTTTTCCTGGAAAAAGCCAAACAGCTCCAGGACCAGGCAAAGCAGGGCTGGGATTTCTGGCCTGATATCTGATCACGGAAATCCTGGCTGTTTCCTCTCCTTGGCCCAATAACTTCTGCAATCTTGATGCTTCTCTTTACACTATGTGTTTTTAATGCCCTTGTTCGTTTTGTCTCTAACAGACTAAAAGCTGTTAAACTCCAAATGGTCATCAGGCAAGGCTTCCAGCCGATTCCACTGGACGACCTGAGCAGCCCTCTGGACCAAGCGGCACTGTCTTTCCAAGGCCACTGTTGCACACCATAAGACAGATAGCAAGAGTAAATACCCAAACCCCCCTCGACGCCCACATGCTAGCTTCGAAGAAGTTACAGAAAACGGAACTCCATCCATAATCCCAAAGAAGAATTTTGGGTATTACCTCTTGAGGGGAAAATATTAGGCAGAAAGTCAGTTATGAGCTTATGTGTGTGTGACATAAAGGCCTAATGTGTCCAGCATATGCATCTGCACCTCAGTCATCCTGACAATGTTTCACTGGAAGCCCGGCCTTTGCATCCTGCCCTGCCCCCTTCTACCTGATAACCTGCCAGGTGGAGATCCCCACCCCTTCTGCATGACAAATCTTCCACAACCTCCCAGATACAGCCCAGCATCTGCATTTCAGTATTGCAGAACAGGCGGGGGTTGGATCTCATTTTCATAGAGGAGGGGGGTTATGCACAGCCCTTCAGGAGGAATGCTGCTTCTATGTAGACAAGACAGGGGTGGCGAGGGACAACATGGCTCAACTACGTAAATGTTTAGAGGAAAGACAGTGGGACAGACTTCAGCAACAGGGATGGTTTGAGTCGTGGTTCACTAAGTCTCCCTAGCTGACTACGTTATTATCAGCACTGGCAGGTCCCCTAGTTGTGCTGCTCCTAATTATTATAAGACCCTGTATATCAAATAGGCTTGTCACATTTCTTCGAAAGCAAGTTAAAAATGTTAAACTCATGGTAATTCGTCAACAATATGTAACACACAGAGAAGGGGAAACAGATGGTCTCTAAGATTAGAGACCCTGGCCTAAGAGGAGTGGGGAATGAAGGGTTAAAAAGTTAAAAGCCGCTTCCCCCCAACCTCCTCTGGTGAACTTTTCTGACCTCATTAGACTTGCTCTGCATAGCCGTTAGTCAGTAAATTACCCCAATGTGAGCATAACCTCAGTTTCACCTAAGTAAGATAGAAGAAGTCACCATATATCTCTGCCTCCTGGACCCCTGACTCCACCATGTGTCCCTTATCACCATTCGGCTGCATTCCTAGGTATCACTCCCTGTATTCATAAATCAACTGGTTGTAAAATCACTTAACTTGTATCAATTGTTTACTCTATACCACTGTCTGCTCTATGCAATGATTGATTTTCTTTGTTTAAACGTGTATAAAAACCCCAACCCAAGACTATTCGAGGCCGCTCGCCTGTACTGGGACGGGGGCCCCGACATGTCGGAACATCAATAAACTTTACCCTTTGTTAATTACATGAGAGAAGGTCTCTTGGAGCGTTTTTGGGGTGGCAAGAGTAATTCAACTCTAATTCAACTGTAACAGGAGAAGCTTAACCTACTGTGCTACAGTGCCAACCCCATCCACTGATGTTATTATCCATCTATTCTTGGGCATGCTCCTTTGCTTCATTTCTTTATTTATCATTAAATTACAGTTTATGATTGAATATGCTTTAGTGAATAATTGTTAGAGCTGAAGAAAATAAGTTACATACATTTTATAAATGAATGGATTTGAAAATTCTTACTGTTTCTTAAAAAATCATTTATCTATTCATTTATTTGAAACATAGAGCATCAGAGAGAGTGCTGAGAGAGACAGAGATTTGTACTGTCTACTGGTTCACTGCCCAAATAGCTGTGACTATTTGGGCTGTGCCAGGCTAAATCCCGAAGCTAGGAATTTCATTCACATGGGAGACAGGAGCCAAACTACTTGAGCCATTTAATATTGCCTTTCCTGGCACATTAGCAGGGGCTGGATTGGAAGTGGAACACCCAGGACTCCAGCTAGCATTCCAGTGTGGGATGCTGGTGTCAACAATGACCCCTCGTACTTATACAGACTTCTTTCTGTAGTGCATCCTTGTGTTCTAAGGGTGTGTAGAGACAAGCCAAGGACCAAGACTCCTGGCTTCTTTCTTCTTTCTCCTGGTTCTAGAGTAGGTTAGGGAATCTTTTTTTCTGCCTAGTGCCATTTGGATATTTGCAACATCGTATGTGGGCTGAATAAAATTATCAACTTAAAAGTTAGCCTGCCTTAGATTTATCAGATTTTGAGTCCTGCCTGTGGTTGCCTTGGCAGGGCTGAACCAGATGATGTCATGGGTTTATTACAGCCCATGGCCTGGACGTTCCCCATCTCTGTTCCTGGGGAACAAAGTATAATGATGAGAGGAAAGTCCTCCAGGTGATGGGATGAGTCCACACTGACCTCCCTACATGAGGAGCTGGTAGGTGCACACATGTGTGCATGTCATACAAGTCCTCACAGAGGTGTTTTGTGAAGGCACTTCCACTCAGAGCAGTCTATCACTACACTTCTGATCCTATTGTTTGCTATGAATGTAATTTTAACCTTGTAAGGGATCTTCAGAAGGTTGATAGCAAAACGCAATTGAATGATAACATCCCTGGAAACTTTTAAAGCCACCTTGACAACACAGATCAGTCTAGACCCTCGTCTCTGTCATGTAAGCCCCTTGCTTTCCTCTCTTGTCTCTGGAAATTTAAGCCCATTGTCTTGTGTTGTGTCCCCTTCCACCCTGTGCTTTGCAAGGTGATGTTTCTGCCTGCTTACAATCCTTAGGTGATCATACCTAGTTTAACAGTCCATTGCTGTTAATATTCAAATGCTTTTCTGAAATTTCCCTTGGACTGCAGACTCAATCCATCTTCTTACTTCAAGTGTGTGTAGAGACATAGTGCAGTGGGTGTGAGTGGGTGTGTCTGAGCTGCTGCTCCTGTACCTACTGTGTGATAGCCAGCACCTCTGCGACTTAGTTTCTTCATGTATAAACTGGGAATGCTATTTGTCTCATAGGCTTTCAGTAGGGTAAAATAAGATTGAGACAAGGGGCCGGCGCTGTGGCATAGTGAGTTCAGCCACTGTTTGAGGTGCTGACATGCCATATAGCTTCTGGTTTGAGTCTTGGCTGCTTCACTTCTAATCCATCTCCCTGCTAATTGCCTGGGAAAGAAGCCTAGGATGACCCAAGTGCTTGGCCCCCTGCACCCATGTTGGAGACCTGGATGAAGCTCCTGGCTTTTCCCTGGCCTAGCCCTGGATGTTGTGGCCCATTTGGGGAGTGAACCAGCAGATGGAAGATATCTCTTTGTAATTCTTTTAAATAAATAAATCTTCAGAAAAAAGATTAAGATAATACATGTAAAATGTTTAGAAGAGATTATTATAAATGTTACCTACTGTGATTAGCCTCACCATCTCAGACTTTACTCCAGTAAAGCTGATTTCTGTTTTTTTCCCCAAAGATTTATTTATTTATTTCAAAGGTGGAGTTAGAGAGAAAGATTTTCCATCTGTTGTTTCACTCCCCAAATGACTGCAATGGCCAGGCTGGTCTGATCCAAAGCCAGGAGCTAGGACCCTCTTACAGGTCTCCCATGTGGGTACAGTGGCCAAAGAACTTGGGCCATCTTTTGTGGCATTCCCAGGCACACTAGCAGGGAGCTGGATCAGAAGTGAATCAGCTGGAACTCGAATTGGTGCCCATATGGGATGCCAGTGCCCAGGCTGTGTCTTTTCCCACTGTGTCACAATGCTGGCTAATCCCTTAATCTTCATTTGCTATCCCTATACTTCTCTTTCTCTGAGGTCCTCCATGTCAGTATGTCACATTGCCAGCCACCTTGTTACTCAAACCCAGAGTGTTAACTCAGAGAATGATTCCCTTATTCTGATACCTTACCCTAATTCATCAGCAAATCCTTTGCCTTTACCCCTAAAACATACCATATATATGACTATTTTCTTTTCCTGTTACTACTTTTTACCTAATTGAAATCACTTTCAGCTACTAGCATTATGTCACAATGGGTTAAGCCACGGTTTGGGACACCCGAATCCACATCAGAGTGCCTGTTTCTAGTCTGGGTGCTCTGCTTATCATTAGCTTCTTGCTAATGTGCCTGAAATACTGCTAGTGATGGCCCAAGAGTTTGGATCCCTCCCACCCCTGTGACATGGAAATGGATGGAGTTCCTGGTTCCTGGATTCGGCGTGGCCCAGCCTCGGCTATTGTGGGCTTATGGAGAGTGAACCAAGAGATGGAAGATCTCTTGCCCATCTCTCTCTCTCTCCACACCCCCTTCTTTCCCTCCCTCTCCTTCTCTATGCCTTTTAAATAAATAAATGAAATCTTTTAAAAAAATAAAATCAATCACCATCAGTTCTTATCTGGTGTGTTGTGGTATCTAGTTTGCTCTCCCTTTCCATTCTTTGTTTTGACAAGTTGTTGCCTATGCCCCTGTGCTTGAAAAATCTCAACTGTCATCTTCTTAAAATTAATCATTTTTTTAAAAATAATGCTAGCACATTTCCATGTAGGATCTCTGGGAGAACACAGATCATATGCTCCCAGGCATTGTTGCCTCTCTAAGGAGCAACAAGAATGCATTTCTCTCTGGGATGATTGGCATCGATCCTGTTGCTGTTTACCAATGGGCAGCTCGCTGAGCTTTTTTCAGAGCTGTGGTTGCACTCAGAGAAGCTGGGAAAAGACACATCCAGAGGAAAACTGGTAAGCAGCAGTTATTCATGTTCTGCCATGCTTTATCTTTGACTTTGTACCTCTACTCCATCTCAAGGAGTCAAGTCATAATAATGTTTACCTTTTTCTCTTACTGTATGCTAGCATCATGTTTTAGTTCTGATAAGTTGTTACATGAGCAATGTATGTGTGCCATGTGTGTTGTGTATGTATTGATGTATTTTTATTAATACAGGATGATAGGAGTAAGTGCAAAGCCTCTTGTGTGTAGCAGGGATTTGGATGGGGCGCCCTCTATAGGTGAAACAGAGACTGCATCCCCAGCAGGCGTCCCGGCCTCTGCGTGGGTGCCATCTGCTGGTGAAGCAGAACTGCCTCCAGGTCACAGACAATAAGGAAATTTTGGGGTGTCAGGAAGGCAGGCACAAACAACCCAAATTAGGAAGACTGGGAAACATTCCAGATGCTTCCATCAACAGCTGTGTGCTGTAGTCTAGAGACCATCAAGAACTTTCATGGCCTCACACAGTGAACAAAATAAGGTGTCAGAAATGGATCATATAGCAACTGATCCATGTAAATTTAAAATAGCTATTCCTTGAAGAGAAATAATAATTTTATTTGAAAGGTGGAGTATCATGGAGACAGACACAGAGAGATCTTCCATGTGCTTGTTCACTCCCCAAATTCCCAAGGAGCCAGGGCTAGACCAGGATGAAGCCACGAGCCCAGAAATACATCTTTGTCTCTGATTGGGACACAGTACTTGAGGGTCCCATGTACTTGAGCTGTTATCTGCTGCCTCTCAGGATACACATTATTAAAAATTGGGTTGGAATTGGAATAGCCAGGACTCAGACATAGCATTCTGATGTGGGATGCAGGGAACCTAATCTACAGCTAAAGCGTCTGCCCAATGCCTGCCCCTAAAATAGTTATTGTTGTTTTGTTAAATATTTGTTTATATTTTTAAATATTTATTTACTTAGTTGAAAAGCAGAGTTACAGAGGGAGAGAAGAGATAGAGATAGAGAGAGAGAGAGAGAGAGAGAGAGGTCTTCCAACTGCTAGTTCAGTCCCCAATTGGCCTCAACAACCGGAGCTGCACTGATATGAAGCCAGGACCCAGGACCTTCCTCCGTGTCTTCCCATGTGGGTGCAGGGGCCCAAGGACTTGGGCCACCTTCTAGTGCTCTCCCAGGCCAGATAGCTGGATCAGAAGAGGAGAAGCCAGGTCTCGAACCGGCACCCATATGGGATTTTGGCACTCAGGTAGCAGCGTGTGTACATATATGCAGTTGTACAAGGGACTTCACAAAGTTCATAGATCATACGCATTACCTTTTTTTTTTTTGACAGGCAGAGTGGACAGTGAGAGAGACAGAGAGAAAGGTCTTCCTTTTTGCCCTTGGTTCACCCTCCAATGGCAGCCGTGGCCGGCGCGCTGCGGCCGGCGCACCGCGCTGATCCAATGGCAGGAGCCAGGAGCCAGGTGCTTTTTCCTGGTCTCCCATGGGATGCAGGGCCCAAGCACCTGGGCCATCCTCCACTGCACTCCCTGGCCACAGCAGAGGGCTGGCCTGGAAGAGGGGCAACTGGGACAGAATCCAGCACCCCGACCGGGACTAGAACCCGGTGTGCCGGCGCCGCTAGGCAGAGGATTAACCTAGTGAGCCGCTGCGCCGGCCGCGCATTACCTTTTAATTCCGTTTTCCCCACAAGCTCGTATATACAATGAATGTTTAATGGACGTAAGAGTTGTGTACTGTGTATTGTCAGGAACCCCGGTGTTCTAAAGATTCTTATCAGTGTCATTGTGTAAGTTCCTCAGCTGCATTCTTTTCTGAGTCGAATTACTATTTCATAAAGTTTCATATATTATTTTTCATATGGCTAACATCACTAGGCACAGTTAAACTTCTGGCACTTGGGAGATGTTTCATTTCCTTTTGACTTTTACTATTCATAAAGAGTAACTCAAGGTAGAGGGCTCCAAGATGGCAGAATAGGGAGGGAGATCACTGATAATCCAGGAAAGATAGTTTAATAAAAGTGGAGATAGTGTAGTCTCAGGGAAGAGTTAGGGGAAAAACTTCCAAGGAAACACTTCTGGAATTAGAGGGACATGGTGGATCTACGTGAAGGACACAGGCACTCATGGCTCGGGAGCCCAGCAGCTGAGAGTCTTCTAATCTGTACCAGTGCTGGAAAGAGAGGTGAGGCGAAACAAGTAGCCTGATTCACTGGTGGTAAAGTGGCAAGAAGAGCCTAGAGGGAATGAGGCTTGAAGCCCCATGGGGGAAAGTACACCAGTATAACTAGAGGAGAGAAAAAAATAAAACGGATGGTACAGACAAGATTCTCTCTCTCCACACACCTTACAAAGGCATGTGAGACAATAGAGCAGGCACCATTTTGGACATATGTAACAGTTGCTCCAGCTCGTGCTGCGCCCACCCTCAGCCAGGCAGAAAAACCTGACTCTGGTTGGGAGTAATAACAGGAGACTAAGACCTAGTGAATGTGTGATTGTGAAAAAAATGAGGGTTTGTGGGAGAACTCATGGTGTAGCTGAGATGTGAGTAGTCTAGATGGGAGACACCACAAACTTGGGCAGCCTTGCCTACCCGGCGAGAGACATTGCAGGGGAATGTGAGCTTACACTGAGGACTGAACAGATCCTTGTGTGATCCTTGGGGCAGAGCAGAGAAATATTATACCCACTGGGGCTAGTGCTCAGGCAGTGATTGCTATCGAGAAGAGCTCAGCTGAGGGGAATTACTTCTCTTCTGAAGAGAGAGAGAGAGAGAGAGAGAGAGAGAGAGAGAGAGATTGATTTACCATGCCAAACCTGGGTGTGTCACCTTTGGCATACCCTTAACCCTGAAGAACTGAACAGAGACTGAACAGAGCTCTCTGGCACACCCACCACAAGCCTCTAGATATTGACCAAAAGCAGATAGTCCACTTACTCTAGAATCATTAGCATAATGACAAAAGATACCTCAGCAAAAAAAAAAGAAGAAGAAACCAAAGAATATCTCCACAATGCCAAACAACAAACACAAAAACTGAGGAAACAAGAACGAGGAAGACATCAGGACTCTCCCAAATGAACATGACACTCCAATACAAGATTATGAAGATGATGAGATAGAAGAAATGCGAGATACAGGTTTCAAAAAATTTTTGATAAGAACATTTAGAAGTTATCAAAAACAAATGCATGAACTATGAAAATCCATACAGGACAGGATAGAAAACCATTCTCATGAAAATGAAATCTTGAGGAATCAAAATGAAATGAGGAATTTAGTAGAACATAAAACTGAGATATTAAAGAGAAGTCAAAACGAAATGAAGAATTCAATAGAACAAATGACAAACACATTTGAGAGCCTTAAAAACAGAATCAGTGAGGCAAAAGAGAGAATATCAGACGTAGAAGACAGAGAACTGGAAAGTATACAGTAAACCAAAGAAAAGAAGACAGAATTAGAAATTTAAAAAAAAATATTATTGGGAATCTATAGGAAATCTATAGGATACCATTTAAAAACCCAACATTCGGGTTCTAGGAGTTCCTGAAGGCATGGAGAGAGAGAAAGGATTAGGAGACCTTTTTAATGAGATACTAGCAGAAAACTTCCCACATTTGGAAAAGGAAAGAGACATCCAAGTACAGGAAGCACATAGAACCCCGAGTAAACATGACCAAAAGAGATCCTCACCACGACACGTTGTAATCAAACTCACCACAGAGAAACAAAGAAAAGATTCTAAAATGTGCAAGAGAGAAACATCAGATTACTCTCAGAGGATCTCCAGTTAGACTCTCAGCAGACTTCTCATCAGAAACCCTACAGGCTAGGAAGGAATGGTGAGATATAGCCCAAGTACTAAGAGAAAAAAGCTGGCATCCCAGAATATTATATCCTGCAAAGCTCTCATTAGTGAATGAAGGTGAGATAAAGATCTTTCATAGCAAACAGAAATTGAAAGAATTTGTCACCACTCATCCAGCCCTGCAAAAATGTGTTACACACAGAAACATAGAAACATGGCCATCAATATGAATGAAGGTAAAAGAAGAAAATCTCCCAGTAAACAATGACAGGAAGTTCAAAAGTTATATTAAAATATCTTTGGAAAAATGGCATGGTAAAGTCACTACTTATCAATAGTCACATTGAATGTAAATGTCCTCAACTCTCCAGTCTAAAGACACAGACTGGCTGAATAGATTAAAAAAAAACATCTATTTGCTGCTTACAAGAAACACATCTTTCCAACAAAGGTGCATGCAGATTGAAAGTGAAAGGTTGGAAAAAGATATTCCATGCCAACAGACACCGAAAAAGAGCTGGTGTCGACATGTTAATATCAGGCAAAATAAACTTTAACACAAAAACTGTTAAGAGAAAAAAGAGGGGCACTATATAATGATTAGGGGATCCACTCAACAGGAAGATGTAACTGTTATAAATGTATGTGCACCTAATTAGAGGGCACTGGTTTATTTAAAAGATATGTTAAAGAACTTAAAGGGAGACTTATACTCCAATACAATAGTATTGGGGGAATTCAATACTCCACTTTCAGCATTAGACAGATCAACCAGACAGAAGATCAACAAGGAAACAGCATATTTAATTGACACTAGAGACAAAATGTGTCTAACATATCTACAGAACTTTTCATCCTACATTTGAAGAATACAAATTCTTCTGAGCAGTTTATGGAAGCTACTCTAGGATTGACCACATACTAGGCCATAAAGCAAGTCTCAGCAAATTCAAAAATAATCAAAATCATACCATGCATCTTCTCAGACCACAATGGAATGAAGCTGGAAATTAGCAACTCAAGAATCCCTAGAGCATATGCAAACACATGGAGACTGAACAACATGCTCCTGAATGAACAGTGGGTCATAGGAGACATCAAAAACTTTCTGGAAGTAAATGAGGATAACAACACAACATATCAAAACCTATTTGATACAGCAAGAGCAGTGTTAAGAGGAAAGTTTATAGCAGTAAGTGCCTACATCAAGAAATTGGAAAGGCACCAAATAAATGAGTTTTCAATGCACATCAATGATCTAGAAAAACTGCAGCAAACCAGACCCAAATCTAGTAGGAGAAGAGAAATAATTAAAATCAGAGAGGAAATCAACAGAAATGAATCCAAAAACACATTACAAAAGATCAGCAAAATGAAGAGCTAGTTTTTTGAAAAAATAAACAAAATTGACACATCATTGGGCCAACTAGCTTAAAAAAGAAAAGACTCACATCAATGAAATCAGAGATGAAGAAGGAAATGTAACAACAGACACTACAGAAATAAAAAGAGTCACTAGAAATTACTATAAAGAGTTGTATGCCAACAAACAGGGAAATCCATCAGAAATGGATAGATTCCTTGAAACATACAACCTACCTAAATTGAACCATGAAGACACAGAAAACCTAAACCGACCCATAACCGAGTCAGAAATTGAATCAATAATAAAGGCCCTCCCAACAAAGAAAGCCAAGACCGGATGGATTCACCGCTGAGTTCTACCAGACATTTAAAGAACAACCAACTCCAATTCTTCTCAGACTATTCAGAACAATTGAAAAAGAGAGAATCCTCCCAAATTCTTTCTATGGAGCCAGCATCACCTTAATTCCTAAAGCTGAAAAAGATGCAGCAGAGAAAGAGTACTACAGACCAATTTCCCTGATGAACATGGATGCAAAAATCCTCTTAAAATTCTGGCCAATAGAATACAACACATCAGAAAGATCATCCACCCAGACCAAGTGGGATTCATCCCTGGTATGCAGGGATGGTTCAATGTTCACAAAACAATGTGATACACCACATTAACAGACTGCAGGAGAAAAACCATATGATTATCTCAACAGACGCAGAGAAAGTATTTGATAAAATACAACACCCTTTCATGATGAAAACTCAAATTGGGTATAGAAGGAACATTCCTCAATATAATCAAAGCAAAATATGAAAAACTCATGGCCAGCATCCTATTGAATGGGGGAAACGTTGGAAGTGTTCCAACTTAGATCCAGAACCAGACAGGGATGCCCACTCTTCCCACTGCTATTCAATATAGTACTGGAAGTTTTAACCCGACCCATTAGGGAATGAAAAAAATTAAAGGGATACAATTTGGGAAAGAAAAAGTCAAACTATCCCTCTTTGCAGATGATATGATTATTTGGAGGATCCAAAGAAGAACTCAACTAAGAAAATGTTGTAACTCATAGAAGAGTTTGGCAAAGGAGCAGGATATAAAGTCAATGCAAAAAAATCAACATCCTTTTTATACACAGGCAATGCCATGGCTGAGAAGGAACTTCTAAGATCAATCCCATTCACAAGAGCTACAAAAACAATCAAATACCTTGGAATAAACTTAACCAAGGACGTCAAAGATCTCTACAATGAGAATCATAAAGCCTTAAAGAAAGAAATATAAGAGGATACCAAAAAATGGGAAAATCTTCCATGCTCATGGATTGGAAGAATCAATATCATCAAAATGTCTATTCTCCCAAAAGCAATTTATAGATTCAATGCAATACCAATCAAAATACCAAAGACATTCTTCTCAATTCTGGAAAAAATGATGCTGAAATTCATATGGAGACACAGAAGACCTCGAACAGCTAAAGAAACCCTGTACCTTAAAATAGAAGCCAGAGGCATCACAATACCAGATTTCAGGACATACTACAGGGCAGTTGTTATGAAAAGAGCCTGGCACTGGTATAGAAACAGATGGATAGACCAATGGAACAGTTTTGAAACACCAGAAATCAACCCAAACATCTACAGCCAACTTATATTTGATCAAGGATCTAAAACCAATTCCTGGAGCAAGAACAGTCTATTCAATAAATGGTGCTGGGAAAACTGGATTTCCACGTGCAGAAGCATGAAGCAAGACCCCTACCTTACACCTTACAAAAAAATCCACTCAACATGGATTAAATATCTAAATCTATGACCTGACACCATCAAATTATTAGAAAACGTTTTAGAAACCCTGCATGATATAGGCACAGGTAAAGACTTTTTGGAAAAGACCCCAGAGGCACAGGCATTCAAAGCCAAAATTAACATTTGGGATTGCATCAAATTGAGAAGTTTCTGTACTGCAAAAGAAACAGTCAAGAAAATGAAGAGGCAACCGACAGAATGGGAAAAAATTTTTGCAAATTATGCAACCGGTAAATGATTAATAAACAGAATCTACATAGAGATCAAGAAAAAGCACAACAAGAAAAGAAACAACCCATTTAAGAGATGGGCCAATGAGCTAAATAGATATTTTTCAAGAGAGGAATTCCAAATGGCCATGACACATGAAAAAATGTTCAGGATGTCTAGCCATCAGGGAAATGCAAATCCAAACAACAATGAGGTTTTACGTCACCTCGATTAGAATGGCTTAAATACAGAAATCTACTAATAACAGATGCTGGTGAGGATGTGGGGAAAAAGGGGCACTAATTCACTGTTGGTGGGAATGCAATCTGGTAAAGCCACTATAGAAGTCAGTTTGGAGATTGATCAGAAACCTGAATATAACCCTACCGTACAACCCAGTCATCCCACTCCTTAGAATTTACCCAAAGGAATTTAAATTGGCAAATAAAAGAGTTGTCTGCACCTCAATGTTTATTGCAACTCAGCTCCCAATAGCTAAGACTTGGAATCAACCAAATGCCCATCAATAGAAGACTAGATAAAGAAATTATGGGATATGTACTCTACAGAATACTATACAGCAGGAAAAAAAAAGAAATCCAGTCATTTGCGACAAAATGGAGGAGTCTGGAAAACATCATGCTGAGTGAAATAAGCCAGTCCATATGTTCTCCCTGATCGGTGACAACTAACTGAGCACCTAAAAGGAAACCTCCTGAAGTGAAATGGATACTATGAGAAACAATATGTGGATCAGCCCTTGTGGTACGTTTCGAGGAACAACTTACTATTTTATTCCTTTTAGTATTTTTTTGTTCTACTTAATGCCATTGATCGAACTCTTTATTTACACACAATTATTCTTAGATGTTTAAATTTAACTGGAATGTGATCCCTGCTAAATATAAGAGTGGGAATAATAGAGGGAAGAGATGTACAATTTGGGACATGCTCAAGCTGACTTGCAACAAATGGTAGAGTTAGAAACATACCAGGGGATTCCAATTCAATCCCATCAAGGTGGCATGTATCAATGCCATCTCACTAGTCCAAGTGATCAATTTCTGTTCACAATGGATCATAATGAAAGGACTAAGAGTCAAAGGGATCATGTAAACAAGTCTAGTGCCTGGTAATACTAACCGATAGAATAAATAAAGGGGAGAGCGATCCAACATGGGAAGCGAGATACACAGCAGACTCATAGAATGGCAGATGTCCTAAACAGCATTCTGGCCTCAGAATCAGCCCTAAAGGCATTCCGATCTGGCTGAAAAGCCCATGAGAGTATTTCAGGCATGGAAAGCCAAGACACTCTGGCAAAAAAAAAAAAAAAATAAAAATAAATAAAATAAAAAACCCTAAATGAAAGATCTCTGTGAGTGAGACCTTGTCACTGTAAAGTGATCCCTGTTAAATATAAGAGTGGAAATAAGAGAGGGAGATGTGCAGTTCAGCACATGCTCACTCAGACTGACCCCTAATGGTGGAGTTAGAAACATGCCAGGGGATTCCAATTCAGTCCCATCAAGTTGGCATGTACCAATGCCATCTCACTAATCAAAATGATCAATTTCAGTTCAAAATTGATCATAATGATAGGACTAATAGTCAAAGGGATCACATAAACAAGGCTAGCGTCTGCTAATAGTAATTGATAGAATTAAAAAGGAGAGAATGATTCAACATGGGAAGTGGGATACACAGCAGGCTCATCGAATGGCAGATGTCCTAAACAGCACTCTGGCCTCAGAATCAGCCCTTAAGGCATTCAGATCTGTCTAAAAAGCCCATGAGAGGTTCTCAGGGATGGAAAGCCAAGACACTGTGGCAAAAAAATGACCTAAATGGAAGATCTCTGCGAGTGAGATCCCAGCAGAAAGAACAGGGCCATCAAAGAAGGAGGTACCTTTCTCTGAAGGAGAGAACTTCCACTTTGACTATGACCTTGTCTAAATAAGATTGGAGTTGGTGAATTCAAGAGGCTTCCATAGCCTTGGCAGCTCATGACAAGAGCCTCGGGTGATTACTGATGTCATAAATAAGAGTGTCAATTGTTCAATCAACAACAGGAGTCACTGTGCACTTACTCCCCAAGTAGGACCTCTGTCCTTTGTGTGCTCTACTATGTGAATTGAATGTAAAACTACTACTCAAACAGTATTTTATACTTTGTGTGTCTGGGTGCAGTCTCTTGAAATATTTACTTAGTAAATATAAGTGGATCTTCTGTATATAAAGATAATTGAAAATGAATCTTGATGAAGAATGGGATGGGAGAGGGAGTGGGATATGGTATGGTTGCGGGTGGGAGGGAGGTAATGGGGGGAAAAAGCTGCTATAATCCAAAAGTTGTACTTTGGAAATTTTGGAAATTTATACTTGTGAAATAAAAGTTAAAAAAAAAAGTGTAACTCAAATATCATCCTGTTATCATTTCCCTACATAGATGGACCTTTGTCCTTTCTGTCTGCTTTCAGAATTTTTCTCTATTTTGGGTGTTTAGCAATCTGACTTCGCTGTCTCTAGATCATGATTTCTGCTTGTCTTTTCCTTGCCGGTGACTTGTAGTACCTTTTGAATCTGAGCTCCATTGTTCTTTTTGAAATTTGTCAGAACTCGGGCTGTGTTTCCCGTGTTGGTGGCAGGTATCCAAGTACTCAGGCCATCAACTGCTACCTCCCAGGGTGTGCATTATCAGGGAGCTGCATTAGAAATGCAGTAGCCAGGAACTGAAGCAGGTGCTGAAATGATACCCTTCTCCTAACACCTGTCCCCCACCTTCATTCTTTTGCATGTGGTTATTTTTCACAATGCTATTTGTTGAAAAATGTACTCTTTTCCTACTGAGTGTCTTGGAAGTTTTGAAAGAAATTCATTAAAGTGTGAAGATTTGTTTCTGACTGACATTTTTTTTTCCATTGACTGGCTTGGTTGGTGTCGTTGGAGAAGGTTTTGTAATAGGAAATGTGAATCCTTCAACCTTCTTTGCGAGGTTGTTTTGGCTCTCCTGGGTCTCTTGCCTTTTACATGAATGCTATGATCAGCCTGCTTGTTTCTACAAAATAGGTAGCTGAGATTTTAATAGAGATGACATTGATCTGTACATTAATGTGAGGAGCATTGCTCTCTTAACAATGTCTTGTTTCCAGGTCATGAACTTTCTATTGATTCAGCACTTTCTTAATTTTCTTTAATGATGATTTGTATTTTTCATTGTAGGATGTCTTGTAACTTCTTGTTAAACTTATTCCTGTTATTGTGATACTGTTAATGGATTTATTTTCTTAACTTCACTTTTGTGTTTATTGTTATTTTATAGAAACGACATTGATTTTTGCAGATTGATCTTATCTCTGGGAATTCTGCTGAACTCATTTGTTAATCTCACGAGATCTTTCTGGATTCCTTAGAAATTTTCTAGATTGTTATTTCAGGTAAAAAAAATTCTTTTCTTCCCATTTTACCTTATATTAAATGCTTGTATATATGTTGAGAAACTTGACATCCTTACATTACAAAATTTAAGCGTTTATCTTACAATTTGTGGAAAATGATATCTTTAAATTTTTAAGATTTATTTTATTTGTTTGAAAGGCACAGTGACAGAGAGATTGAGTGACAAAAAGCAAAAATTCATCCATCTTCTGGTTTGCTCCCCAAATGGCTGCAACTGCTAGGGCTGGGCCAGCTCCATCACCGTCTCCTATGTGAGTGGCAGAGGTGCAAGTCCTTGGGGTGTTTTCCAGGGCTGTTTTCTGTTGCTTTCTCAGGTGCTTAATCAGGGTTGGATCAGAAGTGGAGCATGTGAAACATGAACCAGTGCTCTAATGTGGGTGCTGACATTGCAAGCTATGGCTTAACCTGCTTTGCTGTAATGCCCATCCCCCATTTTAAATATTCATAGTCCTTAAGGAAAACGTTGCTATCTTAGATTCCCTCCCTCCCTCCCTCATTTCCTCCTTCCCTCCCATCTACTCCCCTCCCCTTCACTCCCTTCTTTCCTTCCAAGGCAGAGTTACAGAGAGAGAATGAGAGAGATCTTCCATCTGATGGTTCACTCCCCAAGTGCCCACAACAGCTGTGGACGGACCAGGTGGAAGCCTGGAACCTAGAATTCCAGCTGAGTCTCCCACATTGGTGGCAGGGGTCCTTGCACTTGGGCCCTCTTCCATTGCTTTCCCAGCTGCATTATCAGGGATCTGGGTCAGAAGTGCAACAGCTGAGACATGAGCCAGTGCCTCTCTGGGATGCTGGCCCCTCAAGCAGCAGCTTAACCTGCTGTGCCTTAACAATAGCTCCAACAGTGCCTTTCTCTTTAAGGTCGATTGATCTCTGAAGTTTATAGTCCATGTAGTCAGTAAATTTATTGCTGAAAAATGATGCAGAGTTCATAGTAAAATTTGGGGGGGGGGATATGAAAATAAAAAAGGTGTTTGTCTACTTCTAGACTGTCTTCCTGGTTTCACTCATGTTTCCTGAGGTTACTGTTTAAAGGAAAGAAGAAATAATTTGGCTGGTATTGTGGCTTAGGTGGGTTAAATTGCTGCCTATGATGCTGGCATTGCATCTGGGAAGCAGTTTGTGTCCCAGCGAATCTACTTCCAGTCCAGCTCCCTGCTAATGGCTGGAAAAGCAGCACCCACGTGGGAGACCCAGATGAAGCTCCTGGGTCCTGGCTTCTGTCTAGCCCAGCCCTGGTATTGGCTATTTGGGTGGTGAACCAGCAGAGGGAAGATTGGTCCATCTCTCTCTCTCTGCCATTCCTACCCCCATAGCTCTGTCTCTCAAATCAACAAATTACCCTGAAGAAAGAAAAAAGAATTAAGAGTTCATTATGAAGTTCTCTAATTGGGTTCATTTGTAAACACAGTTATGGGACTTAGTTTGTATCATTTGGATGTTTCTGTCGTATTTAACAAATATTTGCTATCGAAAATGTATTAATTTTATTGTTTTTAGTAGAGTTGTTTCATGTGTAATTTTCCTAGTACTTTTTGAAATTTTCTGCCTTTTTTTTCTCTTTCTAGATATAATCCAAAAAAGTCCCAGATCACCTCTTTCTGATCTCCAGGGCATGCATGCTCTGAATGAAAAAAAAAAAAAAAAAAGCAGTGAGTGTGTTTTCTTTATGTTGTCAGGAATGTAAAAGAAGTAAATTTAAAAAAAAAGCAGTAATTAAAAACAGCAGAATTAAAAAAAGAGCAGTAAGTATGTTTTGCTTATGTTGTCTAGGAATATGTAAAAGTAACTCACTTTCCGGCCGGCGCCGTGGCTCACTAGGCTAATCCTCCACCTTGCAGCACCGGCACACCAGGTTCTATTCACGGTTAGGCCGCCGGATTCTGTCGCGGTTGCCCCTCTTCCAGGCCAGCTCTCTGCTGTGGCCCGGGAGTGCAGTGGAGGATGGCCCAAGTGCTTGGGCCCTGCACCCCATGGGAGACCAGGGTAAGTACCTGGCTCCTACCATCGGATCAGTGCAGTGCGCCGGCTGCAGCATGTCGGCCGTCGCAGCCATTGGAGGGTGAACCAACGGCGAAGGAAGACCTTTCTCTCTGTCTCTCTCTCTTACTGTCCACTCTGCCTGTTAAAAAAAAAAAGTAACTCAGTTTCCTATTATTTGTGTGACTTTAAAACTTTCATGAAAGTCAGGCTTGGCTTGTTTTTCATTGCTTCAATCTTTTATAAATGATATAGCAACAAGTTAATAGGTTACAATTAACAAAAACTTGTCTAAGATTGTTTTTTGATAAAATGGCTAAAGAACATAGGATTCATCTAGCTTACATTCTGAGATCTTGGATTTTACATGTTTTGAAAAATATAAGGCTTATTCTGCTTTTCTTTGGAACAATCTTATTGAAAAATAAAAATTGAAGAATTTGACTTAGGCAAAAGTAGTTTAATGTACATAATAACTTTTACTTGGTGAATGTCTTTACCAAAGCTTATCTTGTAAAATTTTGGAGTATAGTTTGGAAGTAAGTAAAATTTTCAGAATTAACAAATGAAGATTTGTTTTTATACATATCATTTCATAAATACTGTAATTATATGAACAGAAGAACATTTAATTTCTAGATTGTGCCCTATAGAGCTTAGCAGAATTTTGAGCCTCATAGTGTCCTAGATGTCTGGATGGTCTGTAGTTTGAATAAAATTATAACTGCATGGATCTTTATTTTGCAGTTGAGTGTGTCTCCATTTTTTTCTGTGTTGTCACTTGTTTGCTCACCACCTTTGGTATAAATCTTGGTTATTAAGAAGTCTGATTTCACTCACTCCATATGTAGGAGCCGCCAAATGCCATGTATCTGGGCCCACACATGTTTATCTCTAGTGCCAATGTACTGGATTGTTTGCCATCTTCAGAGTGTAAGCCCTCTGTTTTCTTACCAGTGATTCCTAGCTAATGATGTAATCTGCCCTCATATTAGCATGCTAAGTTTTATAAAGCAAGACAACAGGTGTCGTGAATCTTGACAATGTAGCTTCACCCCTTCTGTGGCCCCATTATCACCCTGGTTGGGGATCTGTAACTTAAGAGACCCATTTTCTTAATTTGGAAAATGACCAATGTGCCATGATCCATTTCCCAAAGCAGTTTACTGGGGATAAGTCTCCTAACTTCTAGTTTGTGTGTTTATCTTTGCCCTTTCAGTTTTGGATACCTAAAAGGGCCTTTTCTGGGTTTTTGTTTTTACTGTGTTGGTTAGGGGGTCTAGTATGTTAGTTTAAGACTGATGGATGAGGTCTGAGCTCAGGCAGTTACTGGTGGAGCTCCTCACTGGTGTCTTTTTTGTTTTGCTTTGTTTTTGTCCTGTGATGGCTTTATCATTGGACTGTGCCTCTGATGCTTAGTGGAGAGTCCACTTTTCCAGTGAATCCCTAGAGATGTGTGGTGGGTGTGGCCAGGGAGGTCTGTTCAGTGTTTCTGGGTAAAGGGAGTATCCGAGATGACACCCTCAGGTTGAGTGTGGTAAATTTTTTTTGTTTGTTTCAGAGGGGAAGTTTGTTCTACTCTGTTGGCAGAGTCTCATGCTCACCTCCTCTCCTGAAAGGAAACCAGGGCCTCAGTGCTGGCCCCGGTGGGTGTAATATTTGCTTTCGCTGCCAGAAGGACCACACAAAGAATCCTTGGTGTAAGCCTGGATTCCACAGATGACACTCACAAGGAAATCACATGTGGAGCCTCCCACATTGACTGCCCAGAGTCCCCTGCACACCCTGAGACCTTCCTTGGCAGCCACAGCGTTTTCACAGTCCTGGCACACCAGCATCCGACAGTCAGGATCCCCCAGCCCCCTGTCAGTTTTCCCATCCAGACTCAGGCATCTCTGCTCAGCTGCTTTCTGGGCACAGGGGAATGAGCTGCTCAGCTGTTACTATGTCCAGAATGGCACCCACCTTCCCTCAGCTTGTTACAGGACGCTGATGCAGGGTGGTCTGGGAGAGAGAAACTTGCCCCCATTTTTTATCCTCTACTTTGGCATTCCCACCAGACTTCCCACAGCTGTAACTCCAGTGGCTTGGGCTGCTACAGACTTGTCTCCCCTCACTCTAGAGCTGGTGCTGAGCTTCTCAGCTGCTGGAGTCCTGAGTTGTGCATGTCCACACCCTCCACACAGGTGCACAGTGTCCCTTTAAATAGCATGAAGTTTGCTCTGCCATTTTCTCCTGAACTCTTTCCTGAGACTGCACTCTCTCCAATTTTTGTTACACTCTCTTCTCTTAGACTAGAGCAGTAAGCTCCCTCCATATTCTGCCATCTTGGATATCTCCGTCCATCTATATCTTTTTTAAGAAAATATTTATTTATTTGAATGTCAGGGTTACAGAGAGAGAGAAAGAGTGAGCGAGAGACAGAGTGAGATAGCTAGCAGATGGTTGCAATGGCTGGGGCTGGGCCAGGACAAAGCCAGAAACCTGGAGCATCATTGGTGTCTCAATGTGGGTGCAGAGGACCAAGCACTTGGGCCATCCCCCACTGCTTTTCCCATGCCATTAGCAGGGAGCTGGGTGAGAAGTGGAGCAGCCAGGAGTTGAACCTGTGCCCATAGGGGATGCCAGCATCACAGGCAGACTCTACCTGCTACACCATAATGTCAGCCCCATTTTTTTCTTGGCAAATTTATGATATTAAACATAATTCTACAATTCTCCTTCAAGAGTATATATTATTTATCTTTCTCTCTGTCTCTCTCTCACTGTCCACTCTGCCTGTCAAAAAAAGAGTATATATTATTTAGAAAACAATAAATGCAAAAAAAAGAAAACAATAAACGATGGGCTTGATGGCACAGGATTGGCTGTTTTACATCTTAACTGTGTCAATGGGAGGACTTTGTCTTTTCGTTAAGTGGAGCACATCAATTTGGTTTTCGTTGTCTGTGGACCTGAACCTCTCAAGGCTGCACTGATAAAAGCCCAGTGGAATATTCCTTGCCCAGCAGAGCCACTATGTTGGACATTGCCAACAGCCAGGGTGTAGGAGTTTTCAGTTCTAAGAGGGCAAGGAGGCAGCCAGTTACAGCAGAAAACACTGTATTTCAGCAGAGAGAGAATAGAAGGGTACAGAGAATGGGGGTTCAGTCTGTCTGGACAGAGGTCAAAGGGGGGTTGGCGCCGGGTTTGGTTTCACTGGAGGGCACCCTGTCTTGAAGGCTGGCAGGCATTGTCCGGGGCCCGAGGCTTGGAGGCAGGCAAGGTGGAGTCTGGCACTTTGTGAGGCTGGAAGTGGGGGCCACGTGGGCAGAGAAGCAGGTGGGCAGGCAGGTAGAGTGGGGGCACTTCTGTCACCAGGTGTGGTCAGGACACCAGGCTGGGTCGAGGAGCCCTTTGGCTGAGGCAGGCAGGGTGGGACCTCCTGTCCATCATTTGGACTGGGGCAGGCACCCTGTTGATGAGACCAGTGTGTTGGGGGTGCCGCTGTCATCGTAGGCAGGCTGGGGAACCTCCGTCATGGCAGCAGCTGGGCTCAGGCTTTCCCGTTCTTGAGTCAGTCCAGGTTGCAGCACCCAAACAGAATCAGGAGAGGTTGCAGTGCCCCTGTCATTGGAAAACTCCAGAATGGGGCACCCCTGGCAGATTCATTGGAGGTTGGGGTGCACCTGTCATGGAGGCAATAGGAGTCAAAACCCCCTGTCCTCGAGTTAGTCCAGGTAGGGCACCCAAGTTAGATTCAGGAGAGGTCAGGCTACCCTACTGAGATTCAGGATAGGTTGGGACACCCCTTTCAGATTCAGGAGAAATTCAGGTGCCCCAAGAAGATTCCGGAGAGGTTGGGGTGCCCCAGTCATATTCATGAGACGTTTGGGTACCCCTATCATATTCATGAGGATATATCCCTGTTAGATTCAGGAGAGGTTGGGGCACCCCAGGAAGATTCAGGAGAGGTTGGGGTGCCCCAGTCAGATTCAGGAGAGGTTGGGGCATCCCATTCATAATCAAGAGTGCTTGAGGAAGGCCCATAAGATTCAGGAGAGGTTGGGGTGCCTCAGTGAAATTTAGGAACAGTTGGATCACTCCATTAAGATTCTGGATCAATAGGGGTACCTCTTCAGATATAGAGGTGGTAGGGGCACCCCAGTCATATTCAGGAGCAGTTGGGGCACCCATTATGATTCAAGATATATTGGGGTACCCCATCAGACATAGAGGTAGTAGGGGCACCCCAGTCACATTCAGGAGTGTTTGGGGTACCCCTGTAAGATTTTGGAGAGGTTGGGGCACCCCAGTCAGATTTAGGAGGTGTTTGGGTGCCCTTGTCAGATTCAGGAGAGGTTGGGGTACCCCAGTCAGATTCAGGAGGGGTTGGGAAGCTCCTGCCAAATTCAGTAGATGTTGGGGTGCCCCTGTCAGATTCAGGAGTGGTTGGTGCATGCCTGTCAGCTTCAGGAGGTTTTGGGGTATCCAAGTCAGATTCAGGATAGGCTGGGTACCCCAGATTCAGGAGAGATTGGGGTGCCCCTGCAATTTCAGGAAATGTTGAGCTGCCCCTGTACTTGAAGCAGTCTGGGTTGGGGCAACACTCTCAGATTCAGGAAATGTTGTGGTACCCCTGTCACTGGCACATGCAGGGTTGGGGTGCCCATTTGTATGGCAGGTTGAGTGCTGGCAACCCTGTCATTGAGTCAGCTGGGCTTGGAGCACACTGCATGTGAAAGATGAGATGCCAGGGTGCACCTGTGAGATTCAGACAATGTCA